TTTTTTTGTGTTTGTGTCTTTCGTTCTCTCCTTCGGAAGCCATGATCTGGTAAATGAAGATCATCGCTTTTAGTCTCTCAAAATCTTCTTACGAGATGCAATCTCTCACGGTTTCTCCTCTCAGTCTTGTTGCATCATGAATACCAAACAACTGTAGGCCAAGTTGCTCTAAAATGGAGGTAGCGGCAAGCTGATAAGATGGAGGCAGAGACGGTATTCACTCTTTTTCGCTGATCTACCTTACCCTCATCCCGTCTATCACTCTTCACTCTCCCTCTAGTCTCCATTATCCAATCTTCGCAGTCTCATCTCTCACCCCCTTTCCCTCTTTGGTCTTCCTTGCCTTTACAATTGATTTTTTTCTTAGGGTTGTGGTTGATTGCAAGAAAAAAATAGACAAAAATGAATCACCCAATAGACCTGCTTGAAACCGATTGCAATCCGAATGACACATTTGGTCTGGTTTTTTTCCTAGTGTTCGGTTGAAGGTGTATGCTTGTGCTTCCCACCTAAAAGGACCAGTTCGTGTGACGAGCCAATGGAAAACCCAAACCAATCCAACCCTTGAACACACCTACTCTTGTCTTAACGCAATAGTTACTCAAGAGCCGAAATGGTTGGGATTTCCTAGACACACTACCTTTTGCCTAGGCAATGTGGCACATTTCTCTCTGACTTACCCAATGTACCCGGCCAAATTGACTTGATTCGACATGCTATGGACAGTTTCGTGAAGTTGAACGGTCGGTAGTGGGTTGGAAGCGTAATTTTTTTATATTTTCGGTTGGCTCTCAGAATGTGGAAAAAAACAATGATTCCACCCGAATTGTCTAATTTATGTGTATGTACACAAGATATTCATTACACGTGCCGTTGTGTCCTTGGAAATTGAGATTACACTTTTTTATCTCTTTACTTTTCAATCTGACATCCATCTTATCTTCTTAATTTTTAAATACTATTTCATTCTCTTTCTTCTTAAATGACTTTATTGTTTCTCTTTCTTCTCAATTGACTCATATTTAAAATCTATCACTCTTTTTCTTCTTAAATGGTATTATTTAATTCTCTGTCTTTCTTCTCAAATGACTTGTAGTATTTGAAATCTTCTCTCTCCTTAAATAGTATTGTTTAATTTTTTCTCTCTTTTTTTTTTTTGTGTTTATCAATTTTCTTTTTTTTTTTTTTTTTTTTTCTACTTCTAACACACACAATCTCTCTCTAACCTGCATCTCATCTCTCTCTCTCTCAACGATGCAATCAAAAGGAAGAACCCAAATGTACTTGTAGAAACTAAAGGTATTGAAGCATATTGACTTGGTGTTCTTTGAATTATTTTTAAACCCTCCCTTCGAAATCCCCTACGCTCAGATCTCCATCACTGCTCTCCCTCTCTAATTTGTGATTTTTATGTATTCATCAAATGGTTGAGGTTGATTTGGGTTAGATCAAACAGTGCTACTGCTCAACTCTTTTTGTTTTTCTTAGATCTACGTATGTGCAGAGAGAAAATCAGTTGATTTTGAAAGGAGATTCAGTCAAAATTGGATGGTTGGTTTTGGAATCCGAAATGGTTAGTGTATACACAAATTTCTTGTCTGCAAAAATAAAGACAGAAAAATAGAGTAGCAAATATAAATTTATTGATTTAAAATAAAATGAGTACAATCTCTGATAAAATTTCTAATCAAAGAAAATCCTCTTATTCTTCTCTTCTATAAGATGATTTGAGGGCGTCATAGCTTGTTCCTGAATTGAGTGGCGAAATCTCCTCCAAATAACGTGAAGAAGACAGTGAATTTGTAGAACTTTGATTTGAGGGCTTGATAGCTTTTTCCCTAATTAAATTTGTAGAATCTCCAATTTAGTAGAAGACGACTATAGATTTGTATAGTTTGATAACGAACTTTGATTTGAATCTCCGAACTTTATGTTTTATGGAGATTGATCGGCTTTGGTGAAGAAACCTCGGGGCTTTAGGCTTGAATCCGATGGAGCTTTTTCTTGCTTGATGTAAATTTTTTTCTCTACAACTTGATTTATGTATGTAGAATTTGCATGAAAAATTCTGGTGGAGATCACCCCTATTTATAGGAATGGATGGAGGAGAGTCTTAATAGACTTAACTTCTTTAATAATTATCTCTGATTTATTTAGAGATAAATACCAAAATATCAGTTTAATGGTGTGTCATAATTTTATTGGCTTGACCACCTCAATGTAACAAGTGGCTTAATTTGATTAGTCAAAAACTTATTTACTGCATCACTATGACTTAATTTGATTAGTCAAAGATTTATTGCATCATTTTAACACAAGGCAATATTTAATTTGACCACCATATAATCTTGATTTGAGACTAATTAGACATGTGGCAAGATTTAATTTGCCAATAATTGTGCCATATTTTGTAGGCTTTTGTAGTATGTGGCAATCTGTAATTGGTTGCAATTTTTCAGGCTTATAGTCGATTCAGGTGACGGGTTATGGATAAACCCGGGTCGACTCGACCCGTGAACACCCTTACCTATAGCACTTTCTTGTCCTTTTGTCTATTCATATTTGAACTTGATGACAATTGTTATGCACTAACAATGCACGCCTTTTTGCCAAGCAAACCCATGTATTGACCTCGTGTGACCCTCCATTATACTCGTTCGGTCAATGCGACCACCTCCAATCATTGTATGGTACGCAGACCTTCGACTAGCATGCACTTGAAGACCCCAATTCTATCCATAGAGGGATCTAAAAAGCCAAGGATTTACCTCCACTATTACAATCATCAGAAACTGTCTTGTGTAATCTTCGACAAGAAGCCTAGCCCAATGCTATTGACATCTTTGCTTGCGTCTTTGGCAACCCTTAAGAACACTTCCCCAAACACCTTAACAACCTCCTCATTCTATAGGTGTAGTGACAGCCTAGGAATTGAACCCAAATGGCCTTTGGACCACCATTTCCATGACAACACTCCCCCACCATAGACCACCAGTCAGAAGAACTCAACTTTTTTCATTCAAAACCCTTTTTTGCCTCCTCTTTTGATGGCAACAAAGTAGATGAAAAAGATCTTTAACATCAAACCCAACTCTTGTTGAGACCTTCCAAGGGTGATTAGCATATTCATTGTAGAGGGGATGCCCCTATACTAGTGCACTACCCTCCCCATCAAATTTGTTTCCGAGAAATGTACGGTTTTCTTGGCATCAATAGAATTTACTACTCTCTTTTCCCCTTGTAACCTTTGTCTAGAAGGGCTTTGATTTAGTGGCCAACACACCATTTCAGGCACCTACATAAAGGATCAACCTCTTTCACCTTGGCTGGTTCCTTCTGCACCTTGAGTTTCGACAACTTCTTAGCCACATCCCTCAAAGAGGACGCCCTTTTCTCTTTGGCAAGAAGACCACCATTTCCTACCTTTACCAACCAAAATGCAAAGGAACCTCCCCCTTTAGTATGAAGGAATTAACATCCATGCTACTACCTTGTCACAAAATCCTTTTGTAAAATCCTTCTCACCTTCGCTACACATCAGGTGGTTAAGGACTTCACACAACCAATCTAACTTCTCATGCTTCAGTTTGACCTAGTGATTCAAGTTTTGCCTTCTCTCTTTGAGCATTAGGAAGTCATCATCTTCATCTCTATCATCTTCCTCTTCAAGGACAATCTTAGACCATCCCAACTAAAGAGCTACATTACACGGACTCTTTGTATTTTTAGAGGTGTCCATGCCGACACAACACGACACAAGTACGGGTGGGGAATACGGCTAAATACAAATGGATACGGTTGATTTTCTTTTCTATTTTTCACAACAGCAACAAAGGAGGAGGAGAGAAACATGGCTCGCGACCTCATCGTCATCGTCGTTTGTCATCTCTGTCTTCTGTTTTCATCTTCGTTGATGGTTGCTAGGGTTATATTAAAGGGTTTGGTGCATTTGGGCTTGTTTAGTATACACTTTGGTTTGTTAATAAAATGGGCCTTATAATAAAAATTATAAGGTTATTGGGCTGGCTGGCTGGCTGGCTTTTACATGAGCTTCTTATGTTTGGGCCTAATACTAATTAAGTTGGAATTTAACTTGTATCCATGGAAAATCAATTATTCATTTTTTTTAATAATGTTATATATATTTTTTATTTAATATTTTTTAACTACAAATGTGTAGCATCATCATAAAAATATGTAATCATTCTGATCCATAAATTATTGTAACTTTATGTGAAAAGTACATAATATTTTTTTAACACATCTATGTTTGGCCTTATCGACGTACTCATGTATAATTTTTGACGTACCCTTGTATCGCTCTTTTAAAAGGTTTGTTGAACGCTCATTTAGAGGTTTGCCGAGTCCAACCCCTAGATACATATCTACACTTAACACTCATACCCAAGTCCATGTAATGTAGCTAAAGAGTGACTCTCCTTGCTGAAACCTTCATCTCTTCTCTCAATTTAGTGCATTTCTTTTATCTAATAAAAATCAATAATATAGAAATTGATTATGTCTAATCTTGTATAAAGAGCATCATCTAACACCTTTAAATGTCCTTATTATCTCCATGTTAGCCCATTTACACCTATTAAAAATTTCGTCATTTTTTTTTGCCACTTTTTAAAGCATTTATATATTTTCTTCTACAACAACTTTAATCTCATTTTTATTGTATTTCGAAAAGGAAAAATGTTGTATATGGCATGCGTTTAAAATTTCAGTCACAAGGATTCATAACCAATTTGGTTCATAACCAAAAACACCAAAAAGCTTCGTAACCTAGGCCACTTCTGTTCATAGCCACAAAGCCTCATAACCAACCACCCCAAGTATGACCACCACAAAGCCTCACAAGTACATGATTCATAATCAAGACCAAATGACTTCATAACTGCAAGACCATATAATTAGAGGTTTTTTTTAATTACAGATTCAGTTTTCAACTATGTCCTCCTTCATTTGTTTAAACTATTCACCTTGTTTGGTTACAGGTTTCTATTTTTGTACTAGTTGGGATTGTCGTTGCAGGAGCTGCCCTAGGGCATTGGATGGTGCGGAAATTTGTTATTTCAGATGATGGAAGCGTGGATGTTGGCGTAGCTCAATTTGTGAAATGGGCCATGCGCATCATTGCAGCCACATTTATCTTCCAGGTGGCTATTGTGTTCATGTTAATAAATAGTGTGATAATGCTCTACTTGCGTATCTCTGGACCAAACGGAAATCAGTGTGCAATTTGCTTTGCATTCCTGAATTTTTTATTCTTATTTTCTGTCAGAGTACGCTTGATACTCCTTTGGCAATAGGGGCATTGGCTTCTTGCTTGTCAATCTGCTTTCTTGTCATTTCCTTCAAGTGGAATGGTCCAGAGTAAGTTACCTGTACCATTTTTTCTCTACTCTCCCCTTGCATCATGCTGGCGGACTGGTAATTATAGTACCAAATAAATGTTCATATAATTGATGCTTAACTCAATTTATTCAACTTGTTAAATCCAAAGCAAATAGATCTTATTAGCTTTTTATCTGTTGGGATGTTGAAATCCATTTTGGAGTAGTCCAAATGGGTGGTTTGCTTGATTTAATATATGAATGGTCATGAATATTGATTGAAGAGAGGTCTGCTCAGTTGATATAACAGATTTAAAAAATCTTTCGTTTGCTTGGTTTAACAAGATCTTAACTAATTATTTGTATGTAGTTCTACCATTACTTTTGGGAATTCAATTTATTCTGCAAATGGGAATCCTTGGCGGAGTAGAGGACGAGCAAATGTAAGACACAATCGTGCTGAATTTCTCAGCAGGTCAGGGATGGTGGCTTCACGGGGAACACTGTGGAACAGCCCAAGGAGATCTTCTGGTTGGTCTGACTCTCCTGTTAAAGGTACACACATATGTTAAACTCGGCATTTTCTCTCCCTAATATTTGTTGTCTGTTGAAACATTTTTTCTAAGAAGATTTGAAGCTTCTGCAGAGTGTTTTATTTCCTCTTATTTTCCTTTGACATCATGGATCACTTCCATAGTTACCACGTAAATCTCCCTGTCAGATCTCTTATGAACATGAACATGCAAGGGCTAGGATGTTTTCTGTAAGCAACATGTTTTGAAAAATAGGCAAGGATCACTACATTGGCGCCTTAGTGCAATGAAAAATAGGAAAAGGTCCTTATGTTTTCTTGGATGAGCACCTGTAAAGAAATTAGCCCAGGATTGTTGGTTTACATTAGCAACTTGGAAAAGGGAACACTAACGGATAAAACTATGGAATTAGTAGATTCTATGATTAGAAGGAAAGTATAACATGCTTACGAGAAACTAAGTGAGTAGCTGAGAAAGTAAACGAAATAGAAAAAACTTGGTACAACATTTTGTATGCTGGAAATATTGGTTAGTAGATAGATTTTTGCGAGTCTTGTGTGGTTGGGTGTCAAGCCGTATGGATCCTGATTTGTTTACCATTTTTGATTTCCTTGACGATGTAATTGGCTAGCGCTTCTTTCTATGGGGACCTTTTTGTATCTTTAGCATCTTCTTGATGCTCTTCTTCAATAAAATTTACTTACCAAAAAAAAAAAAAGAAGATTTAGAAATGGTGTAGCTAAGCATCCGAAAAATAAGGCAGTAATAGTTATGAGAATAAGTTACATAATAATATTAATTAAAATTGTAACTGTAGAGTATAATTAGCGCCTATGCACCCCAAATAGGCTTTGAGAAACATAGTAAAAGGAAATTTTGGGTTCAACCGGATGAGTTAATACAACAAATATTTGTAGAGGAGACAATAATTACAGGTGGAGATTCCAATGGTCATGTCTGAAAATATAATCAAGTGCACGAGAGGATACATGGTGGATATGGTTTTGATGATTGAAATGAGGGTGGAGAGAACATCTTAGATTTCGTTGTAGCATTTGATCATGTAGTAACCAACAACTTTTTAAAAAAGGAGGGTTAAACGCACAACTTTTAAAAATGGGTCAAATAAGAGTTGGATAGATCCATTTCTTGTAAGAAAAATAGACCGCTGAATGTGTAAAGGTTTCAAGGTTATTTCCAAAGGAAGTTAATGGCACAAATTAGGCTAACAATATTCAATATATAGTATTATATACAATAATAAAGAGCAAAATCAAAGAGGGAAATATATTAAAAACTCATGAACTAGATGTGAAATCTAAAAAGTGAGAAGTAACGCTGGGTTTGAAAGGTGTTACTGATAACACGTGGAAGACAATAGCATAATGCATTGAAAGAATATCATATGCAGTGCCATGGAGAGTCAAAGGGAAAAACTCCTATTACTAAATATACTTGGTGGTTGAATAGTGTGATATAAGCCATAGTAAAAGAGGATAAAAATGGGAATTATTTTCAGACACAAGTTGACCAATAAGGAGGTTGGATGAGGAGATTAAGAAAAAGTGTGTGATATTTTGAGAAATTGTTAAGTGAAAATCATTTTAAAAACTTGGAAGGAGAGGAATATGATAGCCTTGATGGAACTAGAGAATATAAGTTTTATCATCGAACTAAGAGAGTTTAAGATGGAATTTGCATTAAAAAAATATGAAATAAGGCAAGGCTTTAGATTTATCATAAAAAAGAAAAAGAAAAAAGGCAAGGCATTAGGACTAGATTGTATCCCTATTGAGGCTTGGTTATGCTTAGGTAAGTAGTTGTTTGGTTAACAAAATTATTTAATAAGATTCTAACGACTAGGAAAATGGCTGATGAGTAAATAGTATTTTAATACCTATATATAGAAATAAATGAGATATCCAAAATTGCAATAATTATAGAGACATTAAGTTGATAAGTCATTACAATAAAATTGTTGGTGAGAATGATTGAGCATCGCTTGAGTGTTATAACAATAGTGTTAGAGAATTTGTTTGGGTTTATGATTGGTAGATCAAATATGGAAACACTATTTTTACTAAGAAGATTAATAGAGAAGTACAAAGAAAAGATGAAGGATCCAAATACGATTTTTATAGATTTTCAAAAAAAAAAAAAAAACTTGCGATAGGGTGCCTATAGATATAATCTAGGAAGTATGGACATGGATACGAGATATGTATATGGCGATACGACAAAACCTAAAAAGTAGGATACGGGTACGGCTAGAATACGTATGTATACATTCAAAAAAAAAAAATATTAGTAGGAGTTAAAACATAAGCTCAAGAATGTTGAGAGATCACATTGTAATTTTATAATGCAAAATACTAATCTTTAAAATTAGGTATTAATTTAAGACAGTAGCTTGTTTACTTTTTAAATTTTCAATAGGTCTTGCAAATATTTCATTTTAATATTAAGTTTAATATGTTTATATTACAATAATAGAGCAATCCCCGACTTGTTTCTGTGCTTTTCCCCTTTGGCACTAGTAAAAATATTATGTTCAAGTTTACTTGCTTATTTATTTGTTAATTTATTAATTTTACTATTGTTTTATTCTCTTGTTAATCTTTACTTTCTATGTAGTTATAGAGGGCATGCATGAAACAATAAAGATACATCAATTTGATAAATTTTATTACTTTAACTCTCACTATGTTCTTGAGTTGAATGGAGAAGAAGGATTCATGTAGCCGACCCCATTTGATGAGACTTAAGGCTTGGCTTGGTTTGGTTTGGTTTATATATTTTCAGAATCACTTAAACAAAACCACCACTAACTATGAATAAAGAAGAAAGAACTCTCACTATGTTCTTTTCAAATAACTAAATAAAGTATTCAGAATAATATGTGACTTGGAGTATCTGATACTTTAAAATTAAGAATCTGATGTTCCAAAATTAATGAAAAAATAATTAAGAAGTGTCTAATACTTTTAATAAGTATCTGATATGTATTCGTGAGTATCCAAAGAGTATCGGTAATACATATACAATATGGATACGTCTCTCTTTTTGAAGTATCTGTGCTTCATAGGATATAATATGGTGAGTGTTGGTAAAAAAGGGTGTGACCAAAAGGTATATGCATGCAATAAAACGCATGTATAATGGGGTATCGACCACAATTAGATCACTTGTAGGAGAAACTAGTAAATTTTCAATCACTGTTGTATTGCATCATGGGCCAACTTTGAGTCCTTACCTATTTACCATGGTCATGGATGAATTAACTAAACACGTTTAGGATGATAGTTCGTAGATGATATTGTTCTAGATGAAACTAAGGAAGAAATTAACACTGAACTACAAATATGGAGAGAAGCACTCAAGGTAACAGGGTTTAAAATTAGTAAAAATAAAAGTGAATATACAGAGTGTGACTTAGCAACAATAGAAATAGAAATGATAGAGAAGTGAAGATTGAAAATAAAAAATAACACAGTGAACTTTTTCGTTACCTAGGTTGATTATTAATAAGGATGGTGAGGTTCAAAATGATGTGATTCATAGAATTAAAGTAGGTTGGCTCAAGTGTGGGAGTGCATTTGACGTATTATGTGATTGACAAATTCTAACAAAATTGAAAGAAGAATTTTATAGAACAACTATAAGGCTAATGATGCTTTATGGGACAAAATATTGGACAACTAAAATCCATGTCCATAAAGTGAGTGTAGTTGAGTTAAAGATGCTTAGATGGATGTGTGGTAAGACTAAGAAGGATAGAATAGAAATAAATATATTTTTGAAATGGTAGAAGTAACACTGATTGAAAGATAAGTTGAGAAAGAATAGGTTAAGATAATTTGGTCATTTACAACAAAGAAATGTAGATGCAACAGCAACAAAGAGTGATATGATTTCTATAAATAAAATGTTGGGGGAAGGGGAGGACTTAAACTAACATGGGATATAGTCTTAAAAAAGATATAAATTTATGTAATTTATTTGAACTTGTAGCCATCGATAGAGCAAAATGACAAAAAATGATTGACGTAGATTGGGAAACAAGGCTTAGATTGGATTGGTTTGGAAGCGGGAAACGGAAACTGAGACTTCATGCAAAAATATTATGGAAAATGTGAAACATTAGGTGATGTAAAGATTGAATAGGTTGAATTAAAAAAAAGAGTAAAGTTTGAATAGGATATTTGTAAGAAAAATTTATTAAGAAACTTAAAAATAGCAATGTAAATTATTTTTATATTTTCATGATCAATTAAAATACTGCTACTACTACTACCCAATATCTACAAAAACTTATTAGAGCAATCATATATTATTGTTGAAAATAGTATTTGCGAGTATTCAAAGATGGTAAAAATTATGAAAAGTGCATTTTTAGGGAGTTTTTAGAACATTTTTTTGAAAGAGTTTCTCGCAAGCTTATTCAAATTGAGTTGGAGTTTTTCCTTTCATATGTAATTTGTACTTGAATTCTTGGATTGTTTTGGAGATGTTTTCTAGAGGTTTTCCTTAAAATTTCATGAGAGTTTTGTGTCCGTTCCCGAAATGAGTTTATAGAGAAACAAGTTTCCTCTATCAAGAGATTTCCTAGTCTCCCTTTATCCCTCTTTAATTTCTTTCTTTACCCTTGTATGTGGTTATTGTCGTCACTAGAAATATGTGTACAAAGAAAGTAAGGAGTTGTGGAGGTTTTTTGGACGAGAGAAAGCGAAAGATTGTGGTAGCTGTGTTTATTACAGAATGTATGGTGGTGGCAGTAGTGTCTGGTTGAGTGAGAGTGGTGAAAGAGGGTGTTTAGTTGGGTTTCCGAGATTGTGATTAAATTGGTCTGGTAAGAGAGTGTATTCAAGTAAACTCCACAGGGATCATATGGTTATCTATGCCTAAAATGATAAGGTCTAAGTGATACTAATATTGAAATGGTCTGGTGGTGAGGCCAAACCCATCCCCAACATCATTTAGGTTCAAAGTCAGTAACCTGGTGCTGACCTGCTTATGAAACTTTGTTTGGGATTCTGTAGTCAGATTTGCTTGTGATAATTTTTGGTGTTCCTTACCGTAGAAAGATGTATTCGAGTGAACTGTATAGGGATCACAAGGTTATCTATGCCTAAAATGATGAGGTATAAGTAGCGGTGATAATGAAGTAGTCTGGTGGTGAGCCCACACCGTTCCCAATTTCATTTAGGTTCAAAGTGGGTAACCTGGTGTTGACTAGCTTATAAACTTTGTTCAACCTAATGCCATTTATTGCTGATGTGTTTGTTAGGCTAGCAGTTTCAGTCAGTGCTAGCTCTAACGTTAGTGGTGATTTTAAGATTATGAGCTTTAATCTTGAAATGTTTATACTTTGTTTTATCTTGACTTTCAATTGAAATTGTAAGTGATTTAAAGAATTGAGTTGAGGATACATCATCACCTGTCTGGACTGCAACATGATGGTTAAATGTAGGCATGCAATTCGACCGTCCCTTTCAATGTATGTTGCATTAATGACCACAAAATTATGTTTCGCTATCCCAATGAAGTCTGTATGATGGTTTTTATGGAGCATGGAGCATTAAATGAGATGTATGATGTGAAATTTGTAGCAAAATTGGATGTAGACACACTAGGACATGACAATATCTAACAAGAAATATTTTGATGGGGGAAAAGTATATGTTTTTAATAAATTTATCCAAATTTGTGCATTAGTAGTTGCACAAATTGGGAATTAAAGATTAACAAACAGTAAGTGTTTCTTTAAAACTGTTCCTACTTTCTTTATATCTTTATCTTTACAACGGTATTCTTTTTTGTATATTAGAAGTGGGGTTCATGCTTGACTTGGCAAGGTAAATGTTCAGTTTCTTTTGCAATATCACGTGTTCTTGACATTTATTGGCTTGTATTGCCTGATGTGGTGTCAGTTTCAGAGCTCCTATGATCTACTGTTCATTCTTCATGTTTTGGTTTTGACCATGATATTGTAATCATAATAAAAATGAAATGAACAAAGTAGGTTTTTGGTTGGGAGGATTAATCTTGTTGAGGATGTTTCATGCGGGCACTCTTTCTAAAAATGTCTATAAAGTACAATGGTACTCGGGTAAATTACACTATATATAGCATTGGCATTGACCTTTAATTTGTGCTTCATTAGTTTGTTTTTGGCTATTGCAGGTATGATATCTCCGACCAGTGGGAGGGTGACAAGAAATCAACAGGATTACTATTCAACATTCCATAGGACAGCCAACAGAAAGAAGTTTTCAAAAAAAGAGTGGGAGAATTTCACCCAGAAATCAACCTGACATGCTGTGGCTGAGTTGGCATCGTCTCCAAAGTTCACTGATTGGATTATTAAGCATCCTAACAAGATACAACTCCTTCCAGATGATAATTCAGATAACACATTTGGAAGTGGCTCACTCCACAGATGAGAATCTTGTAGAAAGTGGCAATCGATTTAGTTTGTTCAAATGGTAGCTGTGACCTTAGAGTAGGAAATTAGTTACTTGTAGCAGTACAATGATATGCTAGGAATGGTGCTCATTTAATTTTTCTTCTTCTTTGTTTTAGGTTTAATTTTAATACATTGTATTATGTCATTAAGCAATTGTGGCAAATCTTTTGAAATCCTCTAATCATGTAATAGTGCGTGCTCTTTCTATGCCTCTTCCTACCAAATACTTCTAATGGTTGGATAAAAAGAGCATTGTCAAGTGTTTTAACTGTCTCATTCAGTTTTAACCACTTATTCAGTCACCCAAAAAAAGGGCAACACAGGTGCAATTTCAACCTCCGTTTGCATTTGTTTTGGGAGATGTATGTGCATATCTTAGTAGGTAGACTTATTTTCCAAGAGGTCATGTGATAATTAATGGCGTTTTTATAAAAAAAAGCGTCATTAAATGTTAGTTTTTAACAACAATTTGAAAATTTATCACAAAAAGTCGCTAATTGTCAGCTTTTAGTAATAGATTTAGAAAATTGTCACATAAAATGTCATTAATTGTTAGTTTTTAGCAATAGATTTATACAATTGATCAAATTTATTCCAAAATTTAGTTTGGTTTGATTTTATTTGTTCATATGAGCAGTTGGTTCAAATCCTAGATTTTCCATAGATCTTTAACTTTTACAACTTAAAAACTAGTGTATAAACATGTAATTATGGATCAATCTCTGCTAGGCACCTAGAAGGTACACATGATACACATTCATTTCAATTGTGACACATTGTGCCTAAAGTTATGATGTAATGTGCTTAATATTATAACTTCAAACATATTGAATAACGCTATGAGTTGAGTCATAACTCACCGAGTAACTCATTGGGTCATTGGAGTTATTATAGAATGAGATCATATCATATTTTGAGAACATTGTGTAGTAATTTTGTACACATCTCATCATCATAATTAGAGAGGATACAAATTGTGCACACTTTTTTGGGTTGCACATTATAGCTTTTTCCTATAATGACAAGTTCTTTATATGAACTAGTGGTGGGTGTCATGTCGTGTTAGGTTGTATTTGTATTGTTTCATTTTAGATTATTTCAACACTAACTTAACATGTTTATTATTTTGTATTTTTGAGTCATGGCATTTTTGGTATGTACCCAGTCCATGTTGTATTAACGTGTTATGTCAAATTTTTTACCTTAATTAGTTAAAAAGACTTAGTGTAGAGACCAATTATTGGATGAAATTGTTCATAAAAATATTTGCTTTCAATTCATTTTTTTTGTGTGTTTAATTTACAAAATTACATCCTATTATTTTATATTTTTATTAGATTAAAATAGTAGGAAAAAACACATTATCTTCAATTAAGAAAAAAAAAATATTAGCCTTAAAATTTCTATTTTACATACTTTTTAATCAATTAGATGGAGTTATGTAAGCAATTAAAAAATGTCATGGTACCTTTTAGTAGAAATAACATTGAAATATGTAAATAATTATTTATTAAACGAGTTATCTATATCAATTTCGTGTTATATAAGTTTAACACTACCTTAACCTGTTTAATACTCATATTATTTGATCGTGTTATATTTGTGTTTGTGTCGAAAGATTGATAAGTTAACTTGTTTAACTCTTAGGTACCTATTATGGAATGTCTGAGTCAAATTTGTAGTCTATAGACTATATAAAATAGACTCAACTAACATGTCTACTACTATTGTGGTCCACAGGAGTTCTCTATAGCATCTCCAATAGAGATGTTAAGTTTGTGTGTTAAGTGCTTAGTGCCTATTAATTTAGAGTGTAAATTGGTGTTCTCATGGATGTGTTAAAGAGTGTGTTATGTGAGGGTATAGTCCAATTGAATGAGTTAAATATATAGTGTATCAATTGATAAAATTTCAGAAAATTCAACTAGGACAAAGAAAGAAGATAAATTACACCTTTAATCCCTACAGTTTAAGCGGATTAATTTTCACTCAATCCCCGTAGTCTTAATTTGAACATTTGAATCCCATACTTTCATTTTTGTTGCAATATTGTCCGCTTGTCATGCGCCTTTTATTTTTTGGATAGAAAAACAACCTATGCACAACTAAAGAGAGTAGAATTCAAAAGAAACAATAGAGACCATTGGTATAGTTTATTCAATTTCTTTTCTTGTGTTGAAATTGCTAAGAATCTCATGCGTATTGCATGTGGTAGTTTTGCATATAAAATTTCAACGGTATGTGATAAAAGGATTAGATTGTAACAAAATTAAAAATATAAAGTTCAAATTGAAATTATGAGGACCAAACCAAAACTTTGCTCATAGTAGATAGACCAATGATATAATTTACCTTAAAAAAAAGTTAATCGGTGACTTGGCCAGCCAAAAGGCTATCATAGTTAATGAAAGTACACAGTAGCTGATAATGTTAAAGAGGAAGATAAAATGTATACTAGGATAGAAAAAAACTGAAAAGTTTAGGTAACTATTAACTCATGACACTAACTACCTTCTTAACACTTACTAAGTTCCAAAATCTGAATATTTAGGAAAGGCAAAAAGAAATAAGACAAAAAAATGAAAATGAATACAACTTAGATATGCATATCATAAGTCAAATTGAAACATAATTGATGGGAAATTACAGATGAAACTAAGGAGCATAAAAGCTTATTAGTTAAGAGAGATGCAGAACAAAAGCAACTAATCAATTGTTGATCAACAAAAGAAATTGTCAAGAAGTGTGCTACTTCAAAGATCGCAATAAGGGCATAATCTGATCATTTTGATAGTATATTTTCCCCTTGCTCCAAATGTGTTCCATGCCAATTTAATGATTGAGTAATACAAGACTTGAGTTGTTTTGTATGAAGTTTGAGTGGCATTATGACCACAAAAAAAAAAGAAAGTTCGAGTTGCCATTTTTTCTATTTGCATTAGAAACTAACTTCCATTTATGTTCTTATACATTATACACACAAACATATATAACAATATATTGTATTAGTGAGTTAGAGTATATAGGATAAGATTGTTGCATCTCTACGAAACAAAAAAATTACACATGTTTCTTCCACATGTTGTCGTTCATTGGAGATTACAAACCAATACTTTCATTGGCAAAAGAAGACACAGTGAAGGAATTGCGCTATAGCTTTACCTTGCATTGCAACCTTCAAATACTTCTCCAATTTATTAGAATACACAATAGATTTACTACAAACAATTTATAATTGACTTTGTATGAGCTATCTTCTTCCAAACCTTCTTTGATCTCTTCCCATGTTGACACATTTTTACACCAAAAATCCTTATGAGCCATTCTTCTTTCCTTCGAATAATACAACTTCAAATCAACAAACCAAGCAATACGCCTTCCATTTCCAGTCCTTTATTCATTACGGTTACCGAATAATAATAACCATAACCATTGCCCATATAATTTAAGGAGGATTTATCTTCATCATCCATTATCATTGAATGCATGCTCTCAAAGTATTTTGATGGCAAAGTACCTGTAAAGTCATTGTGAGACATGCCAATGATATGTAAATTGGTGAAGGCTGATCTCTTCCTTGGTTGCTCTATGGGGGCATGAAATTTATTATCTCACAAGACAATTACCTTCAATTGGGGCAGATTCTCCAACCAAAATAGAAAAGCATCTTCAATGAAATTATGACCCAAATTCAAAATTTCTAGGTTCATGCAATTTGCCAATGATCTTGGAAGCACCCCTTGCAATCCATTGTGGCTAATGTCAAGTTCCTGTAACATGCTTGCGTATCCAAATGTTTGAGGGATGGTACCATGGAAATTGTTTCTACTTACATACAGGCATGTAACTAACTGTATATTCTAGCAGTCAATCATGAGTGTCAAATTTGAAACATAGAAGTAGGAAATGAAAAGGGATATCATGGTTCAAAATCAAATTAAAAACAAACAGCTTTAATGAAAAGGAAAACATGGTAGTACCTTTACTTCAAACAAGCTCCACTTAGTTCTGAACATGTCATCTTGCTCCATGTTGGTACCTAACCTCATTCGATCTGTTCTTCTGATGACACATTTTCAGTCTAAAAATTCTCGCAAGCCATTCTTCTTTCCTTCGAATGATGCAACTTCCTATCACCAAACCAAATACTGCTCCACATCCATATCCCATTGACACTGCTTCCCATCCAAAACCATCAAGTCTGCATTCATAATTGTGGCTTGAAGAGGATGGTAAAGATGGTGATTCTGCTATCTTGGGAGTCTTACATTCCTTTGACAAGGGAAAACCACACAAGCCTGCATTTCCCCCATATGAAATGTTTGAAAATGTTTCAAACTGCTGGCCACGTGGTATAATCCCAGTTAGATTATTTTGCGAGACATCAAAAACTTCAAGGAATGTCAAGCTTGTTAGTTGTTGAGGTATCTCACCAAAGAGCTTGTTTTGGGATAGATCCAAGGACTCAAGCTCAGCTAGATTCACCAAGGACAATGGAATTGGACCTGTGAAACCATTTCTTGAAAAATTTAGGACATGGAGGGCTTTGAGTCTTCCAATAGATATGGGAATCTTTCCATCAAACTTGTTGTGCGAGAAATCAACGGCTTTGAAGATGGTGATGATCCTTACAAGTGTCATTTCCAGTCCTTTATTCATTATGTTTACCGAATAATAACCATAACCAATGTGCATATAATTTAAGGATTTGCCTTCATCATCCATCATCATTGAATGCATGCTCTCAAAGTATATGGATGGCAAAGTACCTGTAAATTCATTGTGAGACATGTCAATGATATGTAAATTGGTGAAGGCTAATCTCTTCCTTGGTTGCTCTATGGGACCGTGGAATTTATTATCTCGCAAGACAATAATCTTCAATTGGGGCAGGTTCTCCAACCAAAATGGAAAAGCATCTTCTATGAAATTATGACCCAGATTCAAAATTTTTAGGTTCATGCAATTCGCCAATGATCTTGGAAGCACCCCTTGCAATCCATTGTGGCTAATGTCAAGTTCCTGTAACGTGCTTGTGTATCCAAATGTTTGAGGGATGGTACCATGGAAATTGTTACTCTGCAAATTTAACACGGTTAATGTTCCACTGAAGTTCCCCAAACAGGTAGGTATTAATCCGCCAAATTGGTTATTGGACAGATCAAGATATATAAGAGAATGAAGAATGCAGAGTGGATTGAGTTCTTCATCTAGGTGATTGTTCGAAAGGTCTAGCGCCTCCAACAATTCCATTCGGGTTTTCAGAAATTCAGGAATTTTATTTATGTTGCAAGACGACAATCGTAATGTCCTAATGTTTCGGAAAGAGGAGTGAGTGGAGTTGGTGGTGGTCAATGATAGACCACTATGTGAAAGAACCAAAGAATCCAAATATTCAAGCTTTGCAAATGTGTCCAGCTCAACAGTGTCGCTTAAATTATTTGACGAAAGATCAAGATAGGTAAGGTTCACAAGATGAAACAAGGAAGGAGGTATTGTCCCATTGATTGAGTTACTGCCTAAATTTAGATCCTGTAGATGTGGAAGGCCAGTTATTGATGATGGAATGGGACCTGTTAGTTGATTGTTTGAGAAATCTATAGATTGAAGCTGCGAGAAGTTGGAAAAAAGTTGAGGAATTGGGCCTTCAAAATTGTTGGATGAAAGATAAAGCCAAATTAATTGCGTGAGGTTTGTAAGCGATCTCGGAATCGTACCAGAGAAATTACAGTCACTGAGGTATAGGTACTCCAAGTTTTTAAGATGGCCGATTGAAGATGGGAATTGACCATTGATCAAGTTGTTCCCTCCAAGATCTAACATTCTTAGTTTCTTGAGGTTTCCAAGCCATGTTGGAATGGTACCAAAGAAATTGCAGTCATTGAGGAATAGCTCCTCCAAGTTTTTAAGATGGCCGATTGAAGATGGGAATTGACCATTGATCCAGTTATTCCCTCCAAGACCAAGCGAAATTAATCGCGTGAGGTTTGTAAGCGATCTCGGAATCGTACCAGAGAAATTGCAGGCAGCGAGGCCTAGCACCTCCAAGTACTCAAGTTGGCCGATGGAATTAGGTAGCTCTCCGGTGAAATCTATTTCAGAGAGATCCAACGACCTAAGGTGCCTAAGGTGCCAGAGAGTTCCATTAATAAAGCTTGGAAGTTTACCTGTGAGTTCTCTGTTGCCGCCTAACCGCAGCTCCTGCAATTTCTGTAAGTGGAAAATGCTATTGGAGAAGTTATTCCCTTGCCAGACTTCTTCTTCAGATGGTTGTATTGGGCCAGAAAGATAGGACAAAGAGAGGTTAAGATGGGTCAAATTTGTGAAACGGCCAAATGAAGGTAAAATTTGAGAGTGATTGAAGTTGTTTTCAGAAAGGTCGAGGTGTTGAAGGTGAACAAGATTGAAGAGGCTGCTGTTTGGATGGATGGTACCATATAGGCAGTTACAATTGAGGTCGAGGCCAATGACATGAGAAGTGGTGTTATCACATGTGACCCCATCCCATGCACAACAATCTGTACCCTCTTTCCAATTATCAGTGAATGGAGCAGAAAGATAACTAGGGCAATCGCAAGCAGAGCAATTGAAGGAAAAGAGTTGCTTAAATTGGAGCAAAGCAGTGCTCTCGTCATTATGGCAAAGATGTGCAGAAGAAGAAGAGAAGCAGAAAATTAGGGAATACAGGAGACATATTGTGAGTTGATAATTGGATGGTAAGAAACCCATTCTTACACCAGTATTGGGTGGTAGGGAGGGAATTGGATATGATACTTCTTCTGTATGCACTCTCCTATTTATAACTTAATAAATAATTCAATTATCAAAAAATATAAACTGAAAATTGTCATTGTATAGTCTCACATATTACCATTGTATCAGTTTAATGGATTTCATTTATCACTTGGTCAATTTTATTACTAATATAAAGATAAAATATAAGGTGATAAATTACTTTTAGTAAATAAATGTAATTCAGCTTGTTTGGTTTGTGAATTCTGAATTCACTTTTTAGAAAATTAAATTTTTTTGTTTTCCATGTTTTCTTGTTTTCATTGATTTTTTTTTTATATTTTAAATAATTTTTTTAATTTTTAGATATACCTAACATAAATACACTTAAAAAATATAATATTGGTGAAAAAAATCTTTAAAAAATTCACTAAATACCGAAAATACAAAAAAAAAATATATATATATATATATAAATTCAGTACATTTTTCGTATTCTTGTGTATTTGTAAATTTTTTGAAATATTTTTTTACAAATATTTTACTTTTTTAGATACATCTAGGTAAGGTGCATCTAAAAAAGTAAAAAAAAAAATGTTTAAAATTTTAAAAATATTCACTAAAAACAAAAAATACGAAAAAATAAAAAATTCAATTTAAAAAAAATTAAATTCAGAAATTGAAACCAAATACAGTGATTTGTTTTCAGCATAGTATTATTGAAGTAATGAGTCCCAACACTTGTTCATTTTTATCACTAACAATATAATGTTAACATTTGAGGTGAGATATAATTTTTAGTAAATAAATGTAATCAACATTGTATTATGAATAAACTTATGTTTGAATTATAAATTCGTAAAGGAATTTGAAAAAAGATAGGCAAATATAAGAGAAATATAAATAAAATATAAGCTAAATTTTTTATCCCCTTTCTCACATTTTCATTTTCATTTTCAAATCATTATTTAAATACATAATCAAATATGATTTAAAAAGTTTTTTTATTATTATTATAAATGATTTGGCCATTTTCCAAACAGTGCCTGAATAAAGGACCTACACTGTCGTTCTTATTTGATGCTTTAGGTCAATAGCAAGCTTGACTAAATAAAAAAATTGTTGTTGATTCTTCGGTACTATGGCTTCGAATCTCTAGTACTTATTTTTTTGTACCCATCTTTTGTTCCATTCATCTCAAGCCGACACATCATCTGTCATGCCCCAGCTCCGTGATAACGCCACACACTCATTTAAGTGAGCATGCAAGGCTAAGAGTTCAACACATAACCAACAATGTAAAATACTCCAATTAAATCCTTAATTTTCATAATGCTAAAATCCATAAAAATTGATTATTCTTATCATATGAAATTATCCACCAAGTCCACTAATAAAATCCATTAACAAAACAATAATCCAAGTACTTAAATCATAGTCCTACTCTCGGCACTCCCACATGTAAAAATAATCTCGCACAACTCTACTCTTCAGAATCTGAAAAAAAAAAGAGGGTAAGCTAGATAGCCCAGTAAATAACCAACCATCACTGCTAGCTGGATCAAGTATACAAAATAAATAAATAAATCGATAACCAATAAATATAATTTTTTTCTACAGTTCAATAAATGAACAATTATTTGTAAGATGGTTTCATAGCTAAAAATAAACAATGTACAATACATTTTAAATGAAAAGCCAACAAGATAATTCAAAGTAATTCGTTGTTCAAATCGATGGTTCGATATTCAGATGGTTCAATGATTTGATTCACAAAACCCAAGTCTTGGTGACTACGGTCACTTAGCCTGTGACAAGGCCCAGAACCACACATAGGCCGGTGGTAAAAACTACTAAGAAAATGTTGTCTGTGCCAATAAATAACCCCCATTGGCTAGGGTCCAAATCATAGTCAGACTAGAGTAATGTTCAAA